ACATGTACTAACTCATTTGAGCCTCATAACTACACAAGGCACCTACTAGCATTATCTCCTTTTTACAAAGAAATAGACACAGAGTACTGAGGAGACACAGAACTAGTAAGAGTCAGAGCTGACATTTACACTGAGGAGATCTGAGTCCAGTTCCCATTTTTAAGCGCAAAGCATTTTTACCTCCTTCCCCAGCCCTTTCCACCACTGCCTCCCCGTGGCTGGTGAAGTGCAGGAGACTTGCTCTCCCATGCAGCTCTCCTTGAGCGGGGCAGTTGGGTTAGACAGATGCAGCTAGGGTTCGCTCTGGTTGCCATTGACCTGAGATGCAGGATCCCAGCACTGACTGCTGAGCCTCCCACATCATTCCTTGAATCATATCTCACCTTCCTGCACTGACCTCAAGTGCTTACAGATCCCAACTCAGTACTGTGTTTAATTCTCCCTAGAGAACTAGAGCCCTACATGCTATATTGGGCCAGAGCCTAAGGACACTCTGTTCCCATGCTTTAGGTTATTCCTGTCCTTATCTCCTGTCTCTGAGGTCAGAAGTTCCTGGTATGATCCCCTTTCCAGGTACACAGGCCCTGCCCCTAGCACCTGCCTTACCCTCAACTCAGCTCGGCCCTCTGCTCCCAGTTGCCTTTGCACTCTTGCAAGGAGATCACCCTGCTTCTCTCAAACCTGCCTAAAGGCCATTCAACACCTGCCTGCATATTGACAGAGCTATCAAGAAAATCTGAACCAAAATATTTACCCAAACTGTAAAACTTAATGTACCAAATTTTCAATGCATTAGGGATTCCCTCATTGATCTCATGAGGAAGAGACTCCATGAATGTGACTTTGAGAAAAACATTTTCTTTGCTTACCAAAGTTAGCCATTATGATCATGCTTTCTCTTAAAGTCTAAAGAGGTGCATATCCTCCCATCACCGGCTTAAAAGTTAGAATAATTTATTTATCATTGTTCACAGTTACTTAAGTAATATTGCTTAATATTTCACATTTTGACTCAATATGGAAGGATGAAATTGAGTGTCTCCAAAGCAACAAGAAGAATGGGGGAACAGATGGGGAGCAAGGACTTAGAGTAACAAGTAGCATTCCTTCATTATGCAACCATCTTTTCATTTAAGAGATATCTGATGGATGCCTATCATGTGCATGCAGGAAAATATTTTTGGTGCGCAGTCCATGGAATACAAAAGCAGAGGGTATATCTAAATGCACCTGGAGGTGGTTTTTGTGGAGCTTTGAAGGACAAGTATGAACCATCAACCACATTGAGCACCATATGGAAAGTAGAGGCTGATATTCATCATAACCACCACGACTGGCCTTGGATCCAGAGGAGGGGGAAGCCATTGAGGGATGGGCAATAAGGGAAGCACTCATGTCTCAACAAAAGGTCAATTGCACAAGAGAAGATGAAGAAGAAAGCTGTTGCAAAAGAAAATTATTACTATATTGGAGAGCCAGAAAGAAGAGAAATATCAACTTCATATCTTCAGGAAGACACTCTTTGAACTACACCCAACCTCCTTTCTGAAGATTATGGCTTCCATGTTTCCTTGCACCTGCTCTTCACAGAACATTATCTGCAGTTTGCCCAGATCCCAGAGGCTTGCTGATATTATCAGGGCTTTGAATTTAAGGACAGGCTCAGAAATAGGCTCTCAAAGTGTATTTGTCACCTAAGCCTGATTGTAGTTTTTGGCACCTCGTTGGATCATTTCAGGTATTTAGCAATTCAGTAATCTGATTAGCCATTCCTGTGACAGACCAGGACTTGCTTTGCACGGATCACCAGAATGTGGCCTCCATGCTTTCATTTTTAATAGCTAAATGTTCATCACTCATGATGCCAGCTCACTCTTCTCAGCCCTTCACAAACCAAAGGAAATCACCTTAGTCAGCCTGATGGTGGTGAATCGTGTCTAAGGCATTGATGATACCAAACTTGTGGCAAAATTACAAGTCCATAGTGTGTAGTAAGTTTAGAATGATACTGTACAATAGTGCTGTGTATGTGCACCTTGATGGCATCAAATGTATTCTTTTATGTGAATTTCCATATCTCAGAATTTTCTTTAAAGAAGAAACAAGAAACTGGTTTGTTTGCATTTGGTTTTGGGTGGTTGGTTTTACAAACCTTTCATCAGAAAAAAATAAAAACCTAATCCTTCTTTCCTACTTCTTAGAGGTGTCATGAGGATTAACAGAATGCAAATATATGTTCTTTAATAAGCAGCATTATTTAAAAATCCCTTGCAGATGTTAGCATGTGGCTTGTTGAAACAGCAGACTCTTACAAGTCCTGCAGAACATAAACCACAAACCCCTGAATCCTACAGGTCTGTTACCTATACACTGTAGCATTATAGAGCAAGACATTAAGAAACAAAGAGAAGCTTCCAGACATTAATGTGGGTCCAGAATTCCACATGAGTGAAGTCATCCCTTTCTCTGCCTTGCTTCTGTGTTTCTAAGGGGTCAGTGAGTTCCTGCTCACTGGAAATAAGGTGGGAAATAAAGACTGATTTTCCCTCTGCTCAAGAATCCCAGTGTGTGGACACCAGGGTTTTTGTAACGTTTCACCAAACCCTATGCCCATGGAACTCTATTCAAGTGGAACAGGATGGGTTCCCTGCCGTAGAAGGAACCGGGATTCCTCTTGCTTCTATCTGCAAAATGCATGAGATACATCGTGGGGCCATTTAAAGGCTTGTCCTCTATCCTTCTGTCCTGCTTGTTATAAAAAGAATGGGGAGAATCTTCTATTTTCTTTAGTGGTGTTCATTTTAAGCCTAATCCCAGGCACTTTAAGCCTATAATATGTATGTGACCTATTTGATTGTATAAACAATAGAATTATCTCTGCATATCAGATTTTTCAAAGTCTTAGAATATTTATTTTGAAATGACTCCTAGTTTCGTTCACTTGGATTTGTTTTTATTACTATGGCATTGGGACCACACTCATCATGTGTCATTTCTGTATAAAGAACTTATAAATTCCAATTCCCAGAAGGAAAAACACTTTTTAAACAGGAATACTTAGATTCAACATCTCTTCATTCGACTCAAAGACTAACAGGTCTGCAGTAGATTATAGAAAAAGGAGCTGTTTCCCTTAATCACAGAGGTTCCTTCAACATCTTAGGAACCCAGCCTAAAGCAAAATGTCCATACAGGCGAAGGTTTATTATACTGGAGATTCCCAAAATAAGAAAGCTGTTTTTTGTTTCCTTGGCTGCCATCTAGTGGGTAATAATGTCATGTCACTAAAACTCACTACATCTGTGAAGATCGAAGATGTATGCCTGTCTTTAAAACAAAACACGGGTAATTAAAGAAATATTATCGTAGACATGAAGCAGTTATCCTTTCTAATAATTTCTATTGATATCCAAAGTGTTATTCTCCTTCCTTTTTCCATGGGAAGGCAACCAATTCAATGAAAACACATTGATTTGGCACAAGTATCGTCCACGAGAACTAGCACTATAAAGAAACCCTTAAAATAGATCCAACTGCAGACTGGGAACTAAAAGGTAAAGTTTTGGGGCTCTCCATTGAAACCAAGAATCTCAGCTAACTTGAACCTAGTTAGACCAGTGATAACCCAACGAATAGCTGTTTCTTTGGCACACCTGTTCTTTGGCCTATTGGCCCAAACCAATATTGATTGTACTGTTTTACATTTATCTCTGCTAGGTTTCCCCTGTGAGCATTTTTAATGGAGTCTTTAATGCCTGGAGAACATTATGTAACAGGTCAGCTGTTCAGTAGCATCTCCATCTTTTCAAATTAAAATCAGATTCTAGATCTAAAGTACTTCAGTGTCAGATTCTCAAAAAAGGACAGCTCAGGAAGTACAAAGAAATAGAGTAGAAATATAATGAGTCTAAAAAACATGCACATGAGCCTCTGCCATTTCTTTCTCTCTAGGCTTTGCAGGTTAAACATACACACACACACATACATACATACATACATACATACATACACACACACAGAGCTGGAATGTAGACCAGTCTTTCCCAGTGGTCTCTCAACCAAAGCCCAGTCATCTACATTTGATTGCATATAAATGAAAAGTCACTATTCATTATATTTGGCATCACAAGTTAACAAGAACAATCTAGCAGACATCCATCCTTCCTTGTTCTACATGACCACGGAGCTTGGGAAGAAGGGACAACAGCTCTTGCTTAAGGCAGTTGAAGATAGTGGTTCTGAATGTGGGTCATGGTACAAGACTGCATAGGTTCAAATCCTGCCTCTACTGGTTGTGATCATAGACCTCAGGAGATTTACCAGACCTTCCTGTGCCCCAGTTTCCTGAAATATAAAATGAAGGTGCCTCCTCTTCAGGGTCATGGTAAGGATTAGAAGAGTTCTTACAAAAGATATGCTTAGAAGGATGCCCAGAATGCAGATAAGGCTCAGTAATTGTGAGCACTTACTAATGTGTCCAGATGCTTCCAAATAATTTGCCAAGGAATGCCAATTGTTCCCCTAACTTAAAGTTTTGAAGCCTCTGAAGTTGGACTATATGGAAGGTCAGGTCTCAGAGTGTATAAACTCAACTAAACTCTAACATGCTTGTGCTGAAACAATTGGTGAGCCTTAGTTAATGATACCTCTCTGATTTAATTTTAACCTGGTAACAAAGCCCATGGGATGCATTTTATCCCATGTTTCTATCTCTGCTGAAGCAGGAGAACATAGCCTTTTAAGGGCCTATGAAACCATGCACCTCCAGTGACGGTTTATTCTGTGTGCTATACAAACCTGATTAGTCATTTTGTCAGAATTAAATTGTACTAAAATATAAGCCTCTCTCCCCCCCAGGTGTTCTCTGATTCTGATCTTTCTCTCTGAAAAAGTTCAGGTCTGAGACTGAGCCTACGAAATCTGATGCCTTTTCAAAAAAGAAAATGGGAGAGGAAAAGGAAAACCTCATGACTCAGTTTCTTTTTTGCTATTATTTAAAGACATGCAAAGCCTAGAGAAGCTCCTGAGAGATGCTGTAATCTACGGCCAGCCTCGAGTCCGCAGAGCTTGGAAGAAGATTCTCATCCTAGTGGAGGGCATCTACAGGTATGGAAATAACCAGGGACATTTTTTTTTTTTAACCAGGGACATTTTAACACACTAGGTCCCACAGCAAGCTGACAAATGAGGAAAGTCTGACCTCTCCTCGCTCAATGGAAAAATGAGTTGGAAATAATGTATTATGAAGAAACCTGAGCCAGAGCTACCAACATATAGCTGTCAGGCCTTGGGTCACCTGTCTTTTCAATGTCTGAACATATGGAAGAACACCTCAGAGGCTGGATGCTTGTGAAAGCAGATGTCCTCAGAATGGTCATCACAAGGCATTGCTGACTTGCATTGATTCTTTCTGCTACTTTTGGCTGTCTCACAGTTTTGAAGACCTATGGGGGCTGGATTATTCAATATCAGAATGCTTTTTGCCTGGGTTGGCTGGGTGGCTCAGTTGATTAAGCATCACTCTTGAGTTCCACTCAGGTCGTGATCTCAGGGTTATGATATCAAGCCTGAGCTTAAGATTCTCTTCTCTCCCTCTCTCTCTGCCCTCCTCAGCCCCTGGCTCACATGCTCTTTCTCGCAAAAAAAAAAAAAAAAAAAAAAAGAATGCTTCTTGCCTTTATGGCATTGCTGATAGGTTCCCAGATGCTTCTAACTGGACAGTGCACCTAAACTCCAGTTGCTTGCTGAACTTGGCCAATTGTTTGCATTAGAATACAAAAAGCCTGCACGTTTTCCACAAGGTTAAGGCTAATCTCAAAGGCAATTCTTGATCCAGAGGTGGGAGCAGCTGAACTTGGCATCTGAAGGTCAGTTTCCCACTGCTTTGAAGCCAAGCAGACAAAACACCCACCAAGTCACTGAGAGTTTTTACAAGGCACATTGTGATGGAATGGGCTTCATTCTCTGTCTGAATTGATTATCATTGCTGAAATGGAAATTGCCTCCAAGCTGTTCTGTCCAATGCCCTAGTCCTTGAGTCAAGGAAACATTACCTCAGAGGGCTGCCTCCTTAAATAAGTTCTCAAACAATCCTAATGTTCAGAGAATTAAGGGAGATGTTTCTTATAGAAAAGTGAACAATACTGAATGTAAGGGAATGAAAGCTTAACTTCCCCACAAGGAAAGGTGTGCTTACAAAGGAGACTTAGATCAGAGGGAGCTTTTGATTTAGCCAGAGTGCACATCATTTCTGTTCCCTGAATGGATAACAGAAGAAAAGTCTCCATCCCTTTTGGGAAAAATAAGTGCTTTCTCCTAAATTTAAAATAATAATAATATTATTATTTATTATTAATAATAAGCCAGGTACCATCTTGTTTTTTCCCTCAGCCTTTTCCCCAGTGCCCACTGTTCTGGGCGTTTCCAGTTCTTCCGTAGAGTTGCAGAGCTGGCATTTCGAGTAGCCCACTTTATGCATCACTTATCAGTATCTCCTCAGGTCAGCCCCCAGACAGTGTCCTATTTATGAAGTCTTTGGGATCACCCTAGAGCAGTGTTCTCAACCAAGGTGATTCCTTCCCCTCAACCCTCCCCTATCCTGGACACTTTGGACAATTTTCAGTTGTCACAGCTGCCATAGAGTACTACTGGCATCTAGTGGGCAGAAGCCAGTGATGCCGTTAAACATTCTACAATGCACAGGACAGGCCCCTATATCAGAGAATCAGCCTGCTCAAAATGTCAACAGTGCTGAGGTTGAAAGACCCTGATGTGGAATATTTCAATTAATAATTCAGTTTCATTAATTATTCGCTGGCCTTGAACTTGCTACTTTCAGGAAATGATCGCATATGGACTCTGGGCTGTCATGACCTCAAGCACAGGTCTTTCTCCCTGTGTGATCTGTGCCAGCTGCCAGCCCAGGAGGGGAGCCCTTATCTAAACACCTGTCATTCATGCCTGGACTCGCAGGAGCAGGGATCAGCTGAGGGACAGCAGATTGGGTGAACCAGAGTTGACAGAATCCAACTTCAAATAAACAAAACTTGGCTCCACTAAAGGAAAGTCGTGTTTTAAGTACTTTGATCATGGCTGAAGTTAAGTAGACCACCAGCATTTTACTGTCAACTATTCCCATCAGTTACACAGAGAAACCACTCCAGCAGCAGGGCTCATTAATGCTGGGGCCTATGTCCTACCACAAGCTCAGGAGGACAGGAGAGCCAGGTGTGGACTTCCGGCTCCAAGCCAACAAGGCACCAAACCAGCACTAGGGCTTCACGAGCAATGGTGCCTGCTCTGGTACCTAATACCATGTAACAAACCACCCAGAGCATGACGGCTTACACAGCAATGAGCTATTATTTCCCATACCACTGTGGGTTCCCTGGATCAACTGGGCAGTTCTTCTGCTCCTCATGGTGTTGGCTGTGGTCATTTAAGAGGTTGCCTTTAGAAGTCGAGCTGGGATCTGGAACATCCAAAATGACCTCACTGAGTTCTAGCTGTTGACAGAAGTACCTTGTTCCGTTCTCTTCTCTGGGGTGCTTTGTCTATAGGCTCTTCTCACTCAGCAATCAAGCCAGAACTTCCTTACAACATGGTGCTGTCTTCTGAGAGAGTGAAAACAGGAAAAGACTGTCAGTCTTTTCAAGGCTAGGCCCAGAACCAGTATGGCATCACTTCTGCAAGCACGATGGGTCAAAGGACGGCAAAAGGCCAGCCAACCCAGACTCAAGGAGAAGGGGGATAGAGCCCACCTCCTGATGGGAGGGTTGGCTTGTGTTTAGAGCGATGGGAAGACTTGAAGGCAGCCATCTTTGGAGGCAATCTGCCACAGTGGTTCAATCAGCTTGACATTTATTTATACAACGAAACCTCCACTCTTCATGGACTTCCCTTCACAGAGAGCTTTCTTTTACCTCATCTGCACAGAATCTTGTCTTTAAATGAAATTATGACCTAAAAGGGCTCATTTGAAGCTAGGAAGCAGGGCATTTCTTAGACAGGCTTTGGTACTTCCTAGAGCCTCATTTTCCTCATCTGTAAAATAAAGATAACCTAGACTGGAGTTCTGGACCATAGTGGATGATCTCACTTGCTGCTATCACCAAAAAATGAAATTATTTCCCACAAGATTTACCAAAGAGCCAGGGTTAGGAATGTGAAATCAACAGTTCACAAATGCACTTCTACTTTTTAGCAATGTGTTATGGACACATACCTTGTTGACATCAATCAAAGCCTCCTTTGTTTTTTCACTCCCAGATTTGTTTTTATCTATTGCTGTTGTTTGCCACCACGGGCAAAGTCTCCCCACAACAAATGCCTCACATAAGTCAATTTTTTTCATAATTCCTAAAAATAGAAGTCAGCCAAATCAGTTTCAGGCAGGTATCAAGGTAAAAAAAAAAAAAAAAGTATCCAGATACTAAGTCTAAGAAATCCTTAAACTCCACAAAAGCAGTTATGATAATGATAATTATAATAACAATAATAATGTCACCATCCATAAACCATCTATGTCTCATTATTTATATAAAGGAGGACATGGAGGACCCAGGATCTGGAAGGAGGCCTGGGACCTGGGTTCAAATCCTAGTGTTGTTACCTACAGTTGGGTGCCCTTCATAGGGTTCTTTTGTAAGTATTAAGTAGGATCATTGAATCTCATTCTTGGCAGAAGCCCAGCCCATAGTAAGCCCACAACCAAGAGCAGCTGTCTTCATCATTAAATTCATTTTTAATTGAAGAAGTTGCTGCATGGAAAACAGTAAGCTCTCTACATTAGTGAAGCTGTTTGCTCTTTACCCAGCTGGAGGATGGGTATCAGCTCACATTTACTATGTGTCTACTTGCCACTTCACATGTATGACCTTGAGTAAGTTAAGCCTCTCTGGTACCTTTGAGGTTACTGTGAAGATGAAGACACTTGAGCCGGGGCAGATAACTGAGAGAAAATAGAGCCAGGATTCAAACCAGGTAGCCCTGCTGGGACAGAGGCCCAGCATCAACAGAAGACTCCACTCATGTGTCCCCATCTGATGATGTAAACATAGAAAATGTAAAGTCATCCATGTGGCCTTCATCATTTACCTACCTAAAAATAGGGAGATTGAAACTTAAAATCCAAAATCTGTGAGTTCATGATTTGGGGCTTAAAAGTACAATAGTATTATTTTAGTATTGTCATCTGCATTCTCTTTTAAGTATTATTTTAAAGTCAGACTTTTCTAGTTTTGTATCTCTGAAAAGTCTAGTTAGTTGACTCATTGTGGTTGAGAAATCTCAAAATTATTCAAAAAATGTACTAGAGAAGGGGAGGGGTTCCCAGATAACCTAGGATATAAAGTAGCATAACTAGAACTCATAACTTTCAAAATAAAAGGTATGGGGAACAGCCCTTCCAAAAAATACATATGTAAACAAATGTTTAAGTCTCAGAATACCATTCTCTCTAAGGGTATAAGCCATTCTCCTTCACAAAATAGTGTAAGTTTAAGGGTTGAGAACTTTAACCTATGGTTTAAACAAATAAAGAAAAAAGGAAAAGAAAGTACTTTATTTTTAATTAGTCTTAGCTCTTTTCACCCTCTTTCCTTTGTTGGATTGTACTTGGGGCCCACCAAGGAGATTTTCCACCATGTAAGTTGACATACCGGTAGTTTAATTCCCAATCCTGCCAATGGATAATATGCTTTATATGTGGAGGAGAAGGTGATGAAAAGGAAATTTCAAAAGAGTCCTGTCACTTAGCTAATACATTATGTAACAGAAAAGATATAAAGAAATTGTTCACCAGCTTGTTGGTTTAAGACTAATTCAAGTCCTTGCACTGAGCTTCAAATTAAGTGGTGGAATTATCTCTACCTATAGTTATATTTTAGTTGTTTTTCTTTAATTGAAGTCAAAAGAAAGCACAACTTGCCATTCAAGAAGAAAAAATAAAACACTGTCCTTGTTTTCTTTTTCATTTTTGGCACTGTATTTTCTGACAGCGATTTACAGGAACAACATAGATAACCTTTTCTTGCCTGCACAAATCTCATTATCCTCCTTAAGAAAAGGTTCAATTCAAATTTGGTCACATTGAGAAATTGAAAACTTAGTGTGAGTGAATATAGCTTTTTATAAAAGCTGAGTTCTCTCTAGGACTCATGTGTACCCTGCAGTAACTCCAGAAATCAGCAGTACTGTAGAGTCATTAATCTTGGAGAAAGAAATATAAACCAGGTGGGCAGACTCCTAACATCAGCTAGACCAGCCCCAGCGAAGGATGGCTAATTAGCTGCCTTGAGTGTCTGCAAACTGTTCAGCATTAACTCTGGCTCCTGCCAAATTCAGTTCCAGAACAAAGAATGGCTATTTGTGACATGTCAAGTTTTTAGCATACTTGTGTTACCAACTTATAACATGTTAAAGATGAGAAGTAGATCCTAGAATGTTGAGGGAATATAGCCATTTATTATGTATGACACCCATATGCCTCTTTCCTAGAAGATTCAACACAGAGCATTGTGTAGGGCTCACAATTTCTCAAGTCAGGCCTCGTTGCAAACATTTCTCCCAAAGCTCCTCCTAAGAAAAAGAACAACCCAATAAGTGCTCATTATGTGCCAAGACACTTTACAAACTTTATTTCTAGGCTTCCTTAGAAAGATCTTATAAAGAGGGTTCCATCATCATGCTTACTTGACATAAGAGAAAACTGAAGCAGAGAACATCATGTGAGATGCCCAAGTCCTCAGCTGGTAAGTGGTGTGGCTACAGTCTAAGCTTAGTGAGATGGCTGTGCCTTCTCAGTGAAAACCATGTTAACAAGCAGTTAATCAAAGAAGTTACTGGAATTTATTCACAAACTTATATAAGAGAAGATGACTGTATTTGGTTTTCATTTCATTAAAATCTGAAAACAGCCATTCAGAATGACCTTGTGAAAAACACAAATGCAATAAGCTGGACTTCATTAAAATTAACAACTTGTGCTCTGCAGAAGGCCATGCCAAGAGAATGAGAAGACAAACCACAGACTGGGAGAAAACATTTGCAAAAGATACATCTGATAATGGACTGTTACCTAAATTATACAAAGAACTCTTAAAACTCAACAGTAAGAAGGCAAATAACCTGATCGAAAAGACCTTAGCAGATACTCCACCAAAGAAGACATATAAATGGAAATACACGTAAGAAAAGATGCTCCACATCATATGTCATCAGGAAAATGTAAATTAAAGCAATAGGATACCACTACACACCTGTTAGGAGGCTAGCATCTGGAAGACTGGCAACAGTACATGCTGGCGAGAATGCACAGCAACACAAAGGCTCATACATTGTTGGTGGGAATGCAAAATAGTGGAGCCACCTTGGAAGACTGTTTGGCAGTTTCCTACAAAACTAAACAAACATACTCTTATCATACAATCCAGCAATCATGCTCCTCAGTATTTACCCAAAAGAGTTGAAAACTTATGTCCACACAAAATCCTGCACATGGATGTTTATAGTATCTCTATTCCTAATTGCCAAAACTTGGAAGCAACCAAAATGTCCTTCAGTCAGTGAATGAATAAGTAAACTGTGGTCCAGCCAGGCAATGGAATGCTATTTAGCACTAAAAAGAAATGAACTCTCAAGCCATGAAAAGGCATGGCAGTAAAAAACGTCTGTAAGATACCATAATGATGGATACAGGTTATCATACATTGGTCCAAACTTAGTGAATGCACAACACCAAGAGGCAACACTCAGGTTAACTGTAGACTTTGGGTGACAATGATGTGTCAGTGTAGGTTCATTTGTAACAAATGGACTGCTCTGGTAGAGGATGTTGATAATGGGGTAGATTATACCTATGTGGGACAGAGTATACAGGAAATCTGTAACTTCTGCTCAGCTTTGCTGTGACCTTAAAACTGCTCTAAAGAATAAAGTCCTTTAAAGAAGCCAAAAGCACAAACGCTACACTTGATGGTCATCATACTCCCTCCAAACCAATACCCCTGGGCCTGGATAACTGAACAACCAGCCGGACTGTTTTTACTGAATCAACCTAACATTTAAGTTTATTTTTGTAATACATTAAACTTAATAAATAAACTAAATAGGAAGAAGGGAGAAGCTCAACTTTCTGTTTGCATCAATTGATTACTTCTTGAACTCAATTGAAGGGTTGCTTGAGTTGTTTGACAAGCTCCTTTGTGTGGTGAGGGTGAGAGTCTGTGTGTTTTCATAGAACTCAACTGTCAGGGCAGTCAAAACTGTGTGTGGTGTAGACCCAGCCCACAAAGTGTTCTGAGAACTGATTAAAGCCAAAACTTCTTTTCCATCCACTGAGTTCCAAAGGTGCCATGTAAATGTGAATTTTACTTATTTCTTTACTTCACATTTTTCCCTTTTCTGAAGGACCTGAAGAGGTTTTTGCAGCTTACAATACCATGAAAAATTAAACACTTAGGGCTAAAACAAAAAGGTTCATCTACGGCAGTGGTTATCAAAGTGCTGTCCCTAACCAGAAGTGGGAGTTTGGTAGAAATACAGACTGTCAGCCCATCTCAGACCTGCTAAATCAGAAACTTGGGGGCAAGGAGGTGAGGGGGGAGCAGTAATCTGTGTTTTAACAAACCATGCAGGGGATTCTGATGCTCACTCAAAAATGAGAAGATTTCCCTAAAGGAACAGAAAAAAAGGGTCACTACCAGACACCCTTGACTTCCAATCAAGACAGCCTAAGAACTTTCTATTGTGCTTTCATTAATACTGTGTGTCTTAAGCAGAGTTCTGTTATGTATTTTTAGTTCTTTCCTTTGATCTTTGGCAATCCAAGCACTGAATTTAGGTCAGATAGAACTGGTCAAATAGCAGCAAGCTTGAAAAGATGAATTACTGTAATTTAATTAAAATGAGCAAAATACCTAGAATCCAAAAAAGGTCAGTCTAGTTACACTAGCTGACTTTATGAATAAACTGATCAACAGTGCAGTGAGCTAATTGTTTATGTAGTAATTAGCTATAACAACTCAGAGCACTGAAATCTATTGAACATAAATTATTTTTTTTCAAGGAAAATATTGTCAAATTAACCTTACAAGATTGAGAGGGTTGTCTGAGCCAAATAAAATATGCTGTAAGAAGAAAGGAATTGCATGTCCCTGTCACCGCTGACTGGTGTCAGGGCACGATGTCTGAGACACATTGGAAGGGAGACCATTACAGAGCTTCCCAGGAAAGTATACACAAATGACAAGCATTTCTCCTTATGCCCTAGCATGGAAGGTTCCATCGTGCATCTGCCCCAGATCGTGGCTCTAAAGAAGAAATACAAGGCTTACCTCTACATAGATGAAGCTCACAGTATTGGGTCCGTGGGCCCAACTGGCCGGGGTGTTGTAGAATTCTTTGGACTGGACCCTCGAGATGTCGATGTGCTTATGGGCACATTCACCAAAAGCTTTGGAGCTGCAGGAGGTTACATAGCTGGAAGGAAGGTAAGAGAGGGACTCCCTGTGTCTACTTAAAACCTGAATGCTCTGGCGACACAGTTTGTAGGGCTGCTCTGGATTCCATGAGAGTTCAGTGCAGTTCACCATACCTCAGTAAATCATGGCAGCCTAGATACAGTCGGTCCACAGCCAAGTAAGCCCAGAATAGCAAGGAACTCACCCTCAAATGGTGAAGAGGAGCATGTGATGAGCAATCCCATTATAATAAAATGACAACACAGGCAGTGTACACAGGCAAAGACTTACTACAAGAAGAGGGGTTGTTAACTCTGCAGGGTAGTATCTAAGGAGTCTTAGAATAAATATCATTCTTATAGGCAAATGATGGGGAGAGGGTATATTTCAAAAAGAGGGAATAATGTATACCAAACCACAGAAATGCTAAGGGGATGCTACAGAACTGTGAGCAGCTTGGTTTTTGTGGCATGAAAAAACATAAAGCAGACATCAGCAACAGTGGGCAAAGGTCAGATATTAATGAGGTTGGCCTTGTGCTACAAGTTCTGGGTTTTAAGAGTTTTAATCAAAATTGTAGCAATATCATGCCCTTTAAGGAGATTTTCTGTGCAAAATAATTCTCTCCCACATTTTGGATAAGCCACAGGTCAATTTTTGTCACCCTCTCATATATTTTTTTAAAGATTTTATTATTTATTTATTTATGTTTTTTTTTTAAGTGATCTCTACCACCAATGTGGGGCTCAAACTCATGAGCTGGAGATCAAGAATCGCATGTTACACCAACTGAGCCAGAAGATGCCCTTCTTATGTCCTATCTACATGACTTAAAATTCTGATCTGATGGGATCAGACTATTGAGTGTTATCCTTGTTCTTTTATGACCAACATCTCCAGGGGGGTTTTCAATATAAACCAATACATGTTTAAAAGAAATGTAAAAAGAGGACGGAAGGGAGGGAGAAAGAGAAAATGAAAAATTCAAACCTGGATTTGAGAGATAGATAAAGAAGTCAGTTGCCTGCCCTGTATCCAAATCCTGAGAGCTATCTCATGTAGGCCTACACCTGTCCCAAAGTAACTTGTGGCAGTGATGCTAGCTCCACCGAGGAGGCACACCAGGCCCCAAACCAGTGCATGCAGATGGCATCAACAGCTTATCCAAAATTCCCAATAACTTACTCATTGTGACCAGCAGGAACAAAAGTTCAGACTCCTGATAACCCAGTCAGACAAATCAGGGATTGCAGCAGAAAACAGTCTGGTCATTGAAAGCCTATGATTTAAAACAGTGAAATCTATAGCCACTTGCCCTGCCATGAGATACACAAGCGCTTAAAATGTTCAGGGTTTTCAGTGGCCTTGACCCTTCAAAAAGCATTACTTTCTTCTGAACTCAAAGCATTGTTTTCCATCCTCCCTTCACTGGCCTGTGGGAATTAGCTGGGTAATGCTAAAAACATAGGGAATGCTACAAAATTTAGCTAAATCTGGTGAAAGGTTAAATGTTCCCTTCCTCAACTGTGGAAGCGGAGGGATCAGAGGGTCTCAAATTTAGGAGGTCCCTTTTCCGGCTGCGTTGCTTTGTGAGCTTGTGGTTTTGTAATTACTTTAGCAGCAGTTCTGAGCTACAGAATTTTTAACCAAGCGTAACTCTGTTTCCTCTGCCAAGGGCACCTGAATAAACGGAAGCAAGCGGATCCTTGAAATGTTGTCAAATTTGGTAGATGTCACATTTTCCCCTTGGAGTTCCTTCCTGTGATACTCACTTTAAACAAAGGCTCTTGACTAGCCTGGAAGTGAGGACCAGCTCACTCTGATTCTCTCTTATTCTCTATCCTCAAGCCAGTAGGACTGTTTGACAAGTGTATTTGTTCCTGTCTGTGTAACCTGTATTCCTTTGGGGTGGACAACTGGGCAGTCCTGGGAAATTGTTTACATTAATCGCAATGCAGAAAAACATATAGATCTATCTGTTCCTTTCCTTGCTCTTTAAAATATTCATCCTCTGCATGCTTGGATCCAGAGAACTGCAACATCCCTCCCCAACCCACTCTCCCTCCCCTCCCCTCCTGCTCCCTTCCCCTCCCCTCCCCTTCCCCCTCCCCCCTCCTCTCCTCTCCCCTTTCTCCTCCCTTCTTCCTCCTCCCCCTCCTTCCCCCTCCCCTCCACTCTATCATCCCTCCCCAACAACCTCTCCTCTCCTCCCTGTCCCCCTCCCCCTTCCTCTCCCTCTCCCCTCCCCTCTCCCCCTCCTCATCCTCCTCCCCCTCCCCTCTCCTCCTCCCTTTCCCCTCTCCTCCCATTCCCCCTTCCCTCCACCTCCCCCACTCCCCTTCCCTTCCTTTCCCCCTCCTCTCCCATTCCCCTTCCCCCCTCCTTCCCTCCCCTTCCCCCTCCTCTCCCATTCCTCTTCCCCCTCTCCTCGTCCGCTCTCCTTCCCCTCCCCTCCTCTCCTTCTTCCCCTCCCTTCTTCCTCCTCTCCCCCTCCCCTCCACTGCATCATCCCTCCCCAACCCCCTCCTCTCCACTCGCCTCTCCCTCTCCCCTCCCCATCCCCGTCCATACTACACTGTAGTCTCCGAATTGACCACTAGATGGCAGCAAGCTAGTCTTTGGCAGAGGTCCATTAGCCTATGCAGAGACTTAACTGCCCTAAAACAGCAAGATGCAAACTCTAGAAAACATAGGGCAGTTTTTAAGACGTGGAAGGTGAGCAAGAGATTGGAGGCCACTTGTGTTGTTCCCTGATGATTTCAAAATCAGTCAAATACACACCTGTCTGGAATGGTTTTGATGAGTCTGTGGCAAACCCAGATATACTGGTTTGCTTCCCAGCTGATAAGCCAAGTTAATGGAATTTTTGCATCTGCTTGTCTGTACCTTTAACTTTTTAACTTATGTTAATTTTAAATTAGGTATAGTTTCCATTTAAATCATAGCTTTTATTCCCTGAATTTTGAATTATTTTTGTGAAAAAATTTCACTTAGACTTTATTGGACAAATGCCAACAGTTTTAATTTGAAGGAAATCTTTCTACTTAGCTATTGAAATAATTAGAGTTTTAGAATTCTATCATGTTTTTTCCTGGATATTTTGCCGTGTATACCTCAATTTGGGGAGGTACTGCAAAATATCCAGGATTCTAGCCAATGGGCACAAAAGCAACAAAATTAACCAAAAAGGTGTTAAAGAACACACACTAGGACCTTACATTTTTTTCTGAAACCCTAATAATTTCATTTTTACTGCGTTCATGGGGATCTTAGTAAATCATGAGATTTGATTACTTGAGTCAAAAACTCTATAAAAAAGATAAAACTGTCTGGCTCTCTTTTTAAATATCAATGTTAGGGTTAGTAGTAGAGGGACTATATTCCTTTTAACAGTTTCTAGGAGGCTCTAGAAGCTTTTCTGGAGCTGATCAAGATTGGGACTATGTAGGTAAGTGACAAGATACGTCACAGAAGGAAAAGTGTTTAGAAACAAACAAGGGGAGAAAAACTCGATTTGGAGCAGCCCCGGTGGCGCAGCGGTTTAGCGCCGCCTGCAGCCCGGGGCGTGATCCTGGAGATCTGGGATCGAGTCCCACGACAGGCTCTCTGCATGGAGCCTGCTTCTCCCTCTGCCTGTGTCTCTGCACCTCTCTCTCTCTCTAAATAAATAAATAAATAAATACATACATACATACATACATACATAATCTTTAAAAAATAAATGCTTCCCTATTAAAAAAAAAAAAAGAAAGAAAAGAAAAACTTGATTTGGTGCTAAGATAGTACCCCAGAGAAGAGATTTTTTTCTTGGCCCCAGGCTGGCTGTCACAGAATGTCTGACAAATTCATCTCTACTTACTGGAATTTACTGCCCTGGCCTCGACCTTCTCTCCCCGCCATAGGGAAACCATAGGTCTCTCCAGAGCCAGCAAGATTTTGCTATTTTGTTCACTTTGAGTTTGGAGCTACTGTAAATGATCTGCGAACAACTCAACTTGGAACATTCTGTCCTTTCATGACCTTTGAGGTGAAATGTCAGATAATTACTTCTTTCCACCAATCAGAGCTCCATGCCATGAATGGCTTCTTTAAGGATGCCTGAGCTGATGGAGCTAGGTTTATGTTTATTTTTTAATTTGTGTCAGTCCAGTTGCTGAGGAGATGTGGTCAACACTAAAGACCTTGTTTGGAGCTGGTGCGGGGGGATCCAAGTGTTTCTCAGGCATGCAGCCTTAGTCCCCTTGTATGCCTGCTGCTAACCACTGGCTTTCATAGCCTCCATGGGCTGAACTGAGACTTGCAAATGTGTGCAGCAAAGGTAGCCTTCATGATTGATAGGCTGTAGGGCTAGAATTCTGGAGGAGGGAAATCAGACAGGGCAGCCAAATTTGGGGTGAGCGTTAGCCCCAGAAGCCTGGGCGCCAGACAAAGGCAGGCCCCTAACCGAAGCCAGCTCTGCCCTGTATGCTTGGCCGCGGCTGCATTTAACAGCCCTTTGAAGTAAATGGGGGTCATGGTATGAACACCATGATGTTTATTCTAAGAGCCTCCTCTCTGATTTCCTCAGCAAACCACCCTTGCCCTTGAACTCCAGGCCTATGGCTAGAGAAAATAATCAGGTTTTTGAACTTACAAGTGAACTTGGAGACCTCAGTATGAGGAGACCTCTAACCCACTCTGAAGGAAGACATAACCCAGACTTTCCTTGAAGGGACCAAAGCCAAATCCTAAGTCATGGTTCCTGGTGCCTAATGGGGGAATCAGAATCTGGGCATCAACACCTTCCTTGATGCTCTGCAGAAGTTACCTAAGGAGCCCCACTTTCTGAGCCACACAAGAAAATTAGCCTGGTCCACAAATTCAGACCCTCAGAGGAAGGGGACTCAGTCTAAAAGAAATAAGGTTGTGGGCAAGATAGTCTTAATGTTAAAAGGGAATAATAACTGCACTAATGAGGCATTTATTCAAACTAAGAAGCAGACAACCTTGGCTTTATGAAATTCCCTAATTTGGAAAGGAAAATTAGGCGTTGGGGACCCTGGGAAGAGCCCTTGAGAAACCCAAGGAAGCTTTGTTTTGTTACTTTGTATGATCTTTGTCAGTGATGCCCCAAAACTAAGAGAATATTTCTATACTTGTTCCTAAGAATGCAGCTTAGTAGTTCCCTATATACTTCAGGGACCCTCACCGTTCTTCCTCAGTCCCTAAAGGCCTTTGCTCCTCATTAGATCATCAGTATTTACCAGGCCCTGCTAGGTACCCACCACTGTGGCTTTTAGAGGAGGGTATAACTCTCAAAGTAGTCTCACTCTCTTTGGTGATATAAGAGCAATAGCCTCAAAGCATTTTGAGACTGATGCAATTCACTCTGTAATTTAGTACTGTTAACAGTTGAGTATATTAGAGATTCTCCCTTCCTCCCCCCAAAAAGGAGCAATTTGTGAACTAGGGAAAGCACCACAGGTGAAATGGAAGTGAAGAAAGTCATCTCTGAGCTCCCCTGTCCCCTCACTGCCAAGCCAGCTCTCTAGTTGGAAAAGTATTATAGTATGGTGCTAAGGGTGGGAACTCTAGACCCAGACTCTTTGGGTCCAAATCCTAGTTATCCAATCATGTTTTGGTTGAATAATTTTCTGACCCTTTCAGTGACTCAGTAATCAACTATATAAGGGAGATAAAAATAATACCTACATCAGACTGATTGGGAAGGTTAAATAAGTTAATCCATGGAAAGTCCTTCAAATGGAGCCTCAAGTGGCCAAGGAATATCAGCTGTCATGTTAGCTCAAGCCCTATAATGTTCTCAGAGCCATGCCATCTGTCATGAAGTCTGGTATTCTTTTCTTTAAAATGCCTCTCTTTTCCCTCCTAACATTACCATCCCAATAAGGATGGAGGAAGAGCTGGGCTGAAAACCTTTGGTTTGCTGCCCAGGTGTACCAGGGTGTAGTTAGCTAACCTTAAAACACTACCCTCTGCCAAATAAGGGGGTTGGGATAGAGACACTCCAAGGAGTTTTTGTATTTTGGTCCCCTCCTCCCAGCCCATGCTCCCAGCTCTAAGAATCCTCGATTTGACAATCTATTAATGATAACCGCCAATCTCATTTGATATTCACTTTGTACCAGACACTTTTCTAGACATATTTAATTTTCATGATGACCCTGAAGTTAGTATTAGTATTATTTCATTTTTCAGAGAAGAAAAGTAAAGCACGGAGAGGTTTAGTAACTTGCTGGTGGTCACATATCGGTTAAGTGGGAGAGACAGGATTTAACTCAAGCAGTCTGATTCCAGAGCTTGTCCTGCAACTCTTCCCTTTATGGGGATAACCTTGTCTTCGAAACACTAGCTTCTCCCTCTACTCCCAATTGACTCCTCCATTCTTTGTTGATAAGATGCAATCCTCATTCCCAATTTTAGCACATGTCCCTGCCTCTCCCCTCCCCTGCATCTGTCCCAATCCATCCATCCTTCAAGGCCAGATCACCTGCTTAGAAGAGCCCTTTTCTCAGCTCTGGTCCACACAAGCCCCTATCATACTGTCACCTGTGTCCTTCCCACTGTCTTCCACTTGGCTTCCCCAGGATTTCCAGGAGGCATCAACTCTCAACAAACAAAGAAAACCCTTGCTGCTGCTCTTGGAGCAGCACTGAGCATAGAACTGTGAAGAACAGCCTGGGAAATGACTGCCTCTTTCTCTTAGAGGCTCCCCCCTCTCCCATTCCCCAGAGTGAACTTTCCAAATACTGTGTGGCCTGTGCCTTAAGTCAGGCCATCATCATGCATGTACTCTTTAAACAGTGAAAACTCACCCAACTGCTTGTATGAGGATCACTAAACCAAAGAATAGGTAGAAACTTCATTTTAATGTAAATGAATAATGGCTGCCAGGGACTAGCCTTTCCATCCCCCTTCTCTTCTTAGACTCCCACATCTAGAACAGAGCCTGGAGCAAGTCCTCCCACAAACTTGCTGGAAAAATGAAAGCAGGGACAAAGGCCCCCCAGGGGTACGGAGAAAAAAGAAAAAAAGGAAGGATAGGGAAGGGGAGGGAGAGGAGAGGATGGGAGGGAAGAAGAGGCAGAAGGGGAGGTAATGGAGGGGAAGGGAATGGGAAGGGAAGCAGAGGGAGGAAGGAAATACTTAAGACTGGAGAGGAAGAAAAGATTTAAATGGGGAATTCAAAATGAAAGAGGGAAAGAAGGAATCAGAGTAGAAGAAAAGGAAGAAAGAAAAGAAATGAAGAGTGTGAAATGAAGGACAAGAGAGAGAAAGGAAGTCAGGGAATAAGGATCCATGAAAGAGGAGATTTAGAATGAAGGACACATTGAAGGAAGCAGGAGGGACAGAATGGAGCTACCAGGTCCCCCCAGGAGGCAGGTAGATGCATCACATCAGCCACTGCCTGTGAGACAGGCCATTCACTTTACTGAAGACGATGACCTAAGAATGTTTAAGAAGCTTGTGAACAACCATGCCACCTATTCCCCAAGAGAGATGGGAAAGGGAAGGGTGGGCACAGTCCCAGGCTTGGAGTTGGGGACAGGTGTAGCTAATGAAGGGGTTTAGGAAGAGATGGGCTTGCCCGAAGCAGGGCTCCTCCCAGTTCACCTTTACGCAGGGATAATCAGAAAAGACACCTCAGTGGTATTCTAAATTGTCTCCTCATCCTTGAAGAGAGAAGGTGGCTGATGCTTTACAGACTTGCTGCTAATGCAGAGAAGTATTATTAGCCCATTAGCTTTTCTGCAAAGCATCCTGAAGGTCCCAAGCCAGAGCCAGAACCAGCGGGCCAGTGGAGGGTCTGGTCAGCAGATAGATGGCTGAGCACCTCCCATGCACCCCTCCCCATCGTGGCATTGGGTTATTGGAACATCTTAAGGCTTTCAGCAGGCTTACCTGGGACCTTATTTTGGGCCTCGGGAGTCAGGCATGCAAGTGAAGAATCATTCCTGCCACTGAAGACCAGCAGACTGCAGTGGGTCAGCACTCCAAATAGTGTTGCACAAAAATTCCAATAGTTCTCTACTGTCCAAGTTGTAACCAGAGCTTATTTGATCCTACACTCTGGTTTAATTTCCCACCTCTCCCTTCTGCCACTCTCTCCCCCACCACTCCTCTTTATCTGTTTTCATTCTTCAAGACAATTCTGCTTCCTCACTGAAGCCTTCCCTGTCTGCTCCAGCTAGCAATACCCCTCTCTTTCCTCTGCAGTCTTATACCCCTGTTGCATATAGTGGTCTGCATATCCTGTTACTTTTCCCCTTATTGCTTTTCATTGGCACAATCTAATGTTATATGCTCAATGGCAAGAACCACATCCTATATTCTTGGATACTCCTAAATACTAAGCGAGTGCTTGTGCCTGCTAAGTAGTCAACAAATGTTTGGGAAATCATTTCTCCTTTATACATATGGTTTTGCCTTGCAGACCTCAACTCCAAATTCTCAGCATTCCACTTTTGCATGCCTTGTAGGTTTTTGAAGGAGAGACTAAGAAGAGATAGAAAAAATAAACAGTTTGGTGATGCCCCTTGAAAATCAGATCACATGTGAGGATCAAATGTCTTGTGCCATGGTGGATGGGGAGCAGATTAGATGTGACTCTCACCACCAACACTAAGACTTATTTGCCTTCTTTTTTTTGTTTCCTCTTTTATTAAAGGAGCTTGTGGATTATTTACGAGTTCACTCACATAGTGCTGTATATGCCACATCCATGAGCCCCCCAGTAGCTGAGCAAATCATCAGATCAATGAAATTTATCATGGGACTGGATGGTACCACAGAAGGTAAGAGGTTCTGTAGGGGGCACAACTCTCATAGATCCTTTCTCAGACTTCTGTCTTCCTCCTGCCTCGTCAATCTGCCCCCTTCTCAGATATATACCTTTGTCTTAACCCAATTTGTAAATTCATACAAACCCACTTTATACATGATATATAATCATACATAGTACAAAAATGTACTAAAACTGCTGCCAACACACACACACACACACACACACACACACACACAAAGGAAATATTTTTTTTAAAGCAAAGAAAACTTTCTAAGTCACTTCTCAATGTGATCAGCAAATCTGGATAACTTTCTGTGATCAGTTGTGTTAAAACAAAGCAAACAGTTATATGTGTTTGCCTGTGCTTGCTTGGGGCCGTCACTTGTATTTCCCTGGGAAAAAGTAGGAGTTGGGGAGGGATTTACCATCACTGGCTATTTGGGGATACGTGTATAAAAACACACAATAACTTTCCAGACATCTTTTTTACATTGGGTCTCCACAGCCAAACTGTGCTCCTTTGCTTAACCCAAATGAGCTTAATCTTTTTGAAAAATTGTTTCAGCAAAGCCTTTTGGAGCTTGCCTTCTATCTTTAAGATATAGCTTATAGGGCTTCTACTACATGTCACAGTGGGGATACAGTGATGAATAAGGCAGCTCTTGCTGCCAGGCAATCTTGAGTGCATTTAAGTAGCAAATTATCCTGGCCCCAAAACTGGTCACTGGGCTATAGAATCCCCATGCTGCATCCCACCTCTCAGCTGGTGGGAAGCCCTCCATTGTTTAGTGCCACCTTCCAAGCCTTGCTACTTCAGTAAAGCCTGGGGAGGTCCATTTCCTGATTTTATTAAAGCAGCAGAATACTTTACTCACATACAAATTTTACCCAGAAGTCTACTATATAAAACAGATTAGAACAGGGCTGAGCTGGTTGAAGTAGTGTATACACCTCCCTCCATACTGACAGCCCTGGAGGCCCTTTTCCTGAGCCCAAGTGCTCCCCAGGACACTGGTTTGAAAACCCCTGAGACAGACCTTTCCTTTTCACTAAAGCAGAAAAATGGCCTGCAGAGTGATTTTGTTCCTGCACGTAAAATGCAGTGATTGATAGTCCTCCAAAGTCTCTTCCAACCTTGTCTTTAGGGTTTTATGATTCTGTCTCTTGTTGAATAGGCTGTGTGAGAAGGAAATAAAAATCCAATCTAGGGAGGCCATGTGGTGCAATGGTTAAGGGCAGAAACTGAAAGCATCTGCCTGGATTGGACTCCTGGGATCCCGTTTACTAGCTCTGTGGCCATAGGAAAGTGATTTAACTTGTCTGTTCAACTCTGGGCAAGTTACTTCTTGGAGCTTCAGTTCCTCCAGCTGTAAAAAAGAGGAAAATAATATTGATGAGTTCGTGCTTTTGTGAGAGTTAGGTAAATTAAGATATATAAAATACTTAAAATTATGTCTGAAAACAAGTCTTTGGTAAATGTCATGTAATTGCTTGCTACTGTTATTTGCTACTATTATTGAGGTGTTTAGTTCTCAAGTGAGAAGTATTTGGACCCCATCTCTGGGATGCTGTAGGAAAGATTCTTATGATAGAAGTGAAGTAAGACTAGATGTCCTCCAAGGCCTTGGATTAGTCAGGAGAAGCAAAGTTATGCCACCATAACAAATAAGCCTTGAAAATCTCTATGGCTTAACAGAACCAAGGTTTATTTCTTGCTCACATCAAGTCTAATACAAATCAGATAACTGCACAGCTATCCTCCATAGGAGCAGTGATTCAGGCTACTTCTAACCTGTGGCTAGGGCATCTCCTCACATGGCCTTCATGGTCACCATGGCAGAGAACAGGAGAACATCAACCTGTAAGTGACATTAACATCTTGTTTATAGTCCTTTGGCCAAAACTAGGTATATGACCACATCCAAATTTTTGGGAGAAGGAGTTGGTAAATTAAAGGATATGGATATAGATATGCAGATATCTTTCAACCTTTTAAAGTGAAGCTAAAAATAGAGCCATATCTGTCATGCCAACGTGAACTGTCTGGTTGTATGAAAAAACTGGTCTGGAACCACTGCTTCTCACAAAGCAATGTTGATGATCTTCCTGAACTTCATTCGTTCATTTTTTTAAGGTATTTATTTATTTATTTATTTATTTACTTACTTACTTATTTATTTGAGAGCACAAGTGGGTAAAGGGGCAGAGGGAGAGGGAGAAACAGACTTCCTGCTGAGCAGGGAACCCAACAGGGGACTCAGCCCCAAGACCCTGGGATCATGACCTGAGCCAAAGGCAGACACTTAACTGACTGAGCCCCCATGCATTTCTTAATGAACAATAGCCAGAATTATTCTTTGGGCCATATTTTAAAGATGAATAACTAAGAAAGTTAGCCTATGTCTCAGCAAGGATCACTAATTTCTTAAACCCTTTAGTGTATATGCTATCAGTAGTTGATTTACATGTATCCAACCTGACAGTCATTCCCTTCCCTCCTCTGGATTTACCACTTCATCACAGACAGAAATCACTCCGTTTATCTGATTACAGTTGAAGATCTGCAGAAAAATCACAATGAAAAATATGATCATTTGCTCTTTGATAGTCATCTATCATCAATTTTTCTTCCTCTGAGGTGGGAAGTATTTTTCTTGATTCTCTCTCTTTGCCTTATAATTAAAGAATTATTTGCTTATGATTTTTTTTTTTTTTTTGCCTCCCGGTTAAAGTTTCTCCCTTTACTTCTCTTGCCATCTTAGTAAGGAAAATAAAGAAAGAAAGAACAGAGAAGGCAATGTGTGAAGTCTGTTTTCTTAGAGCCAAGATGGGAGAACCCAGGGGGAAAGATAGGACAATTTCTTTTCAAAGGGGTGAACAAAGGAAAGTAGTAGAAAAGAAAATTGACAGAATCATCAGCCAAGTTTCAGATGGTTCTGTCTGACACATCTTTTGAAGAATTCAAAGGCACCAGTGAATGTTCGTGCTGGCCTCATTTACGACAATGCCTGCTTTAAATAAAATGAATAGGACAGGTTGAGAATATTGCATTAACTCTCCCCTCTCTCCTGAGATACACGGGGACTCTCGGGGTAAAGTTGCCTGGAGCTCAAAGGGATACACTCTGTCATGCCAGCACAGCCTTATAGGATCTGAGAAAGAGAGCACAGCTCCAAGCCTTCATCTTTGGCCCACTCCACTGCAACTGTGATTGGAGCCTTTTAAGGCTTTGTTTCGGGCTAAGTATGGGGAGCAGTTGGCCAGATCTGTCCCTTGATGAATATCTTTGCTTTAATCTGCAATGCAAAGCCATAGGCTTCAAAGAAAGGCAAGCTACAGGAATAAGGTCAGTGTTCCTTTGAAGCCGAGGTTCAAAGATGAAATAGCAGTCTCAGTGAAATGACAATGTTTATGCACCAACAGCCACCTTCACTCTGCAGCCAGGCTGCTCAGTGGAGTTCATGTGCACAGGCTGAGGACTGCAGACCGTGCACACATTCCATGTGCACCGAGGCCTTTTCATCTCCTGGCCTGTCACGTGGTGCAGCACAGTGAGCCCAAGGTGGAGATTTGGTTTCTCCACCCTAATGATTGTTGGGTGGTCCATAAGCCAAATCAATGCTGTGAGCCCCTTAAGGGCAAGAAATGTGTCTTGCATTCATCTGGTGTTCCTCTGAGTGTCAAACCCACCGCTCAGCTTAATAAATACATCATGATCCGACTAGCATCTTGCTGGCCTCCTCGATTTCAGGACAGTGTTTCTGCTAAACAAGATCGAGGGGATGTTTATCTCATAGGACTGGAAACCAGCAATGCGTTCCACAGCCATGTGGTAGCTGAAGGGATCACTCGGTATTTCGGACTCTCTGTAACTGACATCACTTCTGAGGAAGTCCAGGAAGATTGCAGCTCAGTCGTTTTCCTCACCCACACATGGCACAGGCAGCCACAGGAGGCTGAGCCCCAAACCATAACAACCCCCTAAGGAAAGCGACAGTTATCTTATTTTAAGTATTTTAAGTCTTTGATATGCATTTTTCAATCAGTCAGTATTCTTTGTCAACGGCCGATCTTGGTCCTCCTTCCCCACTCTCCCTTTCTTCTCTTGGGGAGAAAATAGAGCATGTATCTCATGGAGGACTAAAGGTGTGCGCTCTGCAGCCGGACTGCAGGCTGCGTGGGCCCCAGTCCCCAGCCACCCTCACCCTCGCTCCGTGAGTGGCAGGCTGCTTACCCTCGCTTAGCCTCGGTCCCTTAGTCTTAACTGGGGTCGTACATAGGAGTAAGAGATGTGATACAGGTGATGGACTTAGCACGACACTTGATAAATAGGAAATACTCACTAAAAGCCAACAGTTGCTATTATTTACTACTTGCCGACCTCCAGATTTTCAAGTTCTTGCTCATCCTAGAATTCTGCCTCTCTATCAGACCTCCCTCTACTCCATCAGCAAATCCCACAGTATGCCCAGAATCTGCTCCCTTCTTGCCAGCCCCACCTCTAGCTCTGTCAGCTGCCCTCTGGATTCCTGGAGTAGCCTCCTGAATATCCTCTCCACTTCTGCTCTTGCCTGTTGTGGGACTTGTTTTCTACACAGAAATCAAAGTCAGCTTTTTTTAAAGTGTAACTCAGAATACCTCTCGTGCAGAACTTTTCACTGCTTCCCGTCTTAACGAGTGTCAAGTTCAGACCGTGGCCTCCAAGGCTTCTCATAATGTGGTCTTCCATTTTCCCACCGCCTTTCCCTCGCCTCGGTCCACCCCAAGCAGCTGGCATCCTTGCTTTTCCCAGAACGCAGGGAATGACTCCTGCAGGGGGACTTGTCTTTGCCAGCCCCTCCAGACCTGTGTTTCTGACCCGTAGCTGTGCGGCCCACTCCCTCGTGTTCCTAGCATCTCTGCCTACCATCAGCCTCTTAGAGGAGTGACTCTGTCTATCCTGAACACACTTCCTCCTTGTCCCCCTAATTCTCCTTATCTTGCTCTCCTCTTCATGCCATTTATGTGCAC